GTGCCTGTGAGTTTGTTTAGATTGCGAGCCTCTCTGAGGTACTGGATTCGCCCTGAGGGGCTGGAGTTGCTCTGAACCTGCAGCGCTGGGGGCCAGACCCTGGCAGTTGCCGATGTGCTGCCACACCATGGCCAGGCAGGGCACCCTCGAAGCTGCCACAGGCAACTCCTGCCACATCCACAAACCAAGCGAGAGCATAGCCTGGGACAGGAACACAGGTCACCTCCGGATGCTGCTGCTTCACATGTGCCAAGGTCATGGTTTGTGGAAAAGGCTTGGTTTTAGGAAGGTCTTTTCCCTATGATCATCCGAGAACTCCAGATGAAATATAACAGAAAATCTTTGTACAACAGTTGTCAGTTCTTGTTCTGTTTGTGCTTTCTTGAGAATTACATGTGCATCTCCCTGAAATTGTTTCATCTCTTGGGACCAAGAGACACTGACTCATCTTGTTGTTATTACCAATCGGTATAATTTACATACATACATATTTACATTTACGTACATAATTTACACAGTAAAAGAAACTCATCATCCCCCTCACCACATTTCTTAGTCTTATTTCTCATTGTGATCTGAGCTCCCTGTCATTCTCTTGGCCTCAGTTCTTCCTACCACATCTGCTCTGAGAGGAAACACTATGTGACTGTTGAAAATCTGTTCCTTTCTTATGATTCCAAGGAAAAAGAGAAAAAGCCAAAGATCTGTAGGAAGAAAAAAGGGTGAGGACAGAACTTCTGCAGAAATTAATATTGTTACAGTGACACAAATTGTACAGTTTTAAGATAGGTACTGACCGTGTAGTCGATCTTTGTTGAATCAGTTAGTTTGAAATACTTAGAATGCTGTCAGCCTTAAGGTTTTATAGTGGAAATTCTTTCCTGAAATTGGCTTTGGAACGTGGATCACAGGTAGGGTAAACCAATTCTAGGAAATATGATCTACATTCACACTTGTCAGTATTTTACTCTTCTGTGACATGCATCATTATCATAGGCATCAGTGACTTGCTGCCTCTACCTGGGATTATCCTTACTGGGAAAGTTGTAACCTGGAGGCCTATGATGTTCTAATGTGGACTCTCACTAGCTTGGTGGAGGGACTTGAGTAAGCAGACACTGGTGGGTGGGGAAACCAAGCATCCGGGACACTTGTCTTGCTCTGTTGTTTACCCGACACTGAAGTGACTCTCCCAAGCCCCTGTCCTCCTGTGTTCCTTCCCTCTTTTGATGCCTGTTGCCTGCAAGATGCCGTATGCTTCCTGTTCCCCCTACTCAGGTCTGTCCATGATCGTCCCACTTTGAACTTTGAATCCTTCTTACATGTTTTTCTTTAAAGTCGTACTGATTATTCCCTGTATCTCTTTTTTTTCACTAGCCTTTCCATTGTCTCCAAGTTACGGCTGTCTCTTGGCTGATCCAATCGTAACTTCCTCATCATTTTTCCCCTCAATTCTCTTGTCCTCTAATGGTCTTGAACACCATGGAAGTGTTGAATGAAGACCCTTTTGTAGACAGTGGCCAGTATTGTTTCTGTGTCTGGGCATGTCGTCGTGACTTCCTTTTTTGGGCACATGATAATCATCAGGAACGGAGTTGTACATTCTTGGGTGTCCTCCGTATATCATGTTGATTGCAGTTCTCAGTTGTAATATCTAATAACTAAGATTTGAGATTTAATACCTCCTTAGCGGAGGTCCCTTGCAAGTTCCAGGTGCTGCTCTGAGCTGATAACTAGTCCCGTCCTAGGTATCCTGGCCTGGAAACTAGGACATCTGCTTCAGGCCTGTTAGCCGAGGCTGTTAACACTGAGAAACAGGCTTAGCTTGTTACAGCATTGACGAGTAGGGTTAGAAAGGCAAATATTTAAATTCATTTTAAATCCTTTCATTTGAAATTTTAGTAGGTCATTTTGGTATATTGATAGACTGAGTTTAGAAAAGGGCCGGCAGCATTAAACTAGAATATTTTAAGTACTTCTAATGCTTTTGTACTGATTTCTTTTTTGTAATCAAACCCATTAATAGACTTAAAACTCAAGGAAGAAAAAAATAATAGTTGTAATTTTAAAGAAGCATTCAAATATAAGTAAAAAGCATTTTTTTGTTCGTTACCATAGTTACCAAGCAGCTTTCCTGTGGTTCTAGAGAAAATGGGATCCATCATTCAGAGTAATTCTGAAAGTTGCCTTTGGGGGAAAGGGAGGGGAAGGGGTACAGGAGAGGTCCTCGCTGTCCCATAAGCAGGAGACATAACTGGAAGAGCTTTGTTGACACTGAGTATTACAGAATCCTTCACCAGATAGTAGCTGCATTTCTGAGGGGAGTTCTCTTTCAGCAGCGACATAATGTAAGCCAGCTTAACAGGGTATTGGAATTCTATTCAAACTTTAGAAGTCTACTGCTACAGTTTACATGGGGTACTGCTGTATTTGTTCAGGGTTTTAAAACTTTATTTAAATTAAGTAAAAGTTGGACATTTCCTGTATTTGCAAATACCAACTATTCTCAAAGGAATGAAATCAGGCAAATAAAGATGAGGCCAAAATTTAAAATCTAAGGAAGCTGGAAGTGGCAGTTTCTGTACTGGAAGGACAGTGCATCTATCTCTGTATTTGTGTTTTTAGTCTTAGTAGTATTTAAACATTATGTAGAGTTTTGATAATATTTCATGACTTTAGGCCTAGGCAGGGATGAGATTTCATCTCAGATTTTGCTAAGAGTGTTTTCTGTGGAGACTAGCAGGCTGCTAGGAAGAATTGCTGGAATTGGCTGTCACTGGGAGAACTGGAGTTGAAGGCTTACAGGAGATGAGTCCTGGAGAATGGGAGGCAGAGACGAGGGCACGAGGGAGCTCAGGGTGAGAGGGGAAGGGAGAGAGTCCAGGGCGAGAAGGCTGGCGAGGTCTAGAGAGTAGTCAGACACCTGCCTGACAGCTGGGGCCACTTCTCTGTGCAAATCAGGAGGAGGCGAGGTAGGCGGGCTAGTTCAGCCTTGGTGGAAAGGAACCTGATGTCTGAAGTCACTGGAGTGTCTTGGGCCGCTGCCTCCACTCCGCCATTCATAAATCAGTTCTTTTTCCTTCCCCAGAACTGCCCTGAGCTGAAACCACCTTTCTTCTCTCCCTGCAGCAGTCCTCCCTCCATACCTAAACCCTGTGTCCACTTCACACTCCCTCGTCGTCTTCAGTCCCTCTTTCCTCTATGACCACAGACCTCTCCAAACTGGACACTGTCCATGGTGCGTTTTGTTAAGGTCTCAGGAAGTCCTGTAGAAGGAAATAGCTGGTACTAAACTTGAGGAAACAGATACAACATATAGCACACAATTTGAAAAACTTATAAAATTTATTGAGAGTGTTTGACATCGTATTTAAGTCGCTGTTCATAACTGCTGTTCCACCATAGGATCTTCACATCAGTCTGAAGGCTGATGGATGTGGGGGGGGGCGGGCATTTGGAGTGCAGAAAGGCTGCTTGGCACATTCTCAGCATGTGCCAGCCCACATTGCCCCTTACCACCAAAGCCTATTTCCCGTTCTATCCAGTAGGCACAGCTGTAGCTGACCTGAAACCTTTGGGGACAGGCTCATTGATCATTTAAATAGAGAGGTACAAGGTCTGGGGAGTCTGGGCCTTGATGACACAGCTCAGGCACCACAGGCTCCTCCATAGCGCGTCAGGCTGCCTGAGGCTGAGCACAGCTTTTATTTTCATTTTCTTGTCCATAAGGTCTCACATCATATGCAGTTGTTTTCCTTCTGCTCTAAAAGAAAGACATCTTCATCTTTTGAAGGAATTATGTGGCCACCAAGGATCTTTTTTTTTTAATATATAAATAAGATGGGGTTTTGCCATGTTGCCCAGGCTGGTCTCAAACTCCTGAGCTCAGGCAATCCACCTTGGATTCTTTGGCCTCCCAAAGTGCTAGGATTACAGGCATGAGCCACTGAGCCCAGACAACCACAAGGATCTTTAGAAGCAAGTCCTCTTGAGAGAAAATGACAACCTCTGGGATTTAAACAGTAGAGTTCCTTTTGCAAAGCAGTTGTGCGGTCCACACCTCCTAAATGGCCATACTTCCTTTGCCTTTGTTGAGTCTGTATGAGACCCTCATTAACAAGTTTAACAATTCCTGGAGACTGAGGCTTTTGTCAATTATGACGAGACTTCCCATTTCCTAGACCGTGGTCTCCATCAGCATTTTTGTGCGTGTACTGTTTTGTCTCTGTCTTTTAAGTGTTTTTCCTTTGGGATTCGAATGTGTCCTTGTGAATCACCATGAGTCGATTTTTGGAACAAGTCAGGGTATAAATCTCTTATCAGATATGCCTGAAAAGTTTTATCTTTTGACAATTAAAGAATCTCCACAGCTGGTAGTAACTTAAACACTATCAAACAGTGACATTTTTGGGTGGTTTCCATTTCCAATTTTAGTCCTGCCTGTGCCTTTTGGGGTATTTAAAGTGCTACCAAAAAGTTATATGGCTTTTCAGACTGCACTCATGAATTCAGTCCAGCTGATTAATCAGTGTCTACTGGAAATAAGTGGTGTCTCTATCTGGGAAGTTTAGTGCTGAGTGGTCCCTGGGGGCCTGTCTGCCATCTCTCTGTGTCTTGAAGCTGCTGCTGCAGCTTATTTTTTTACTCATTCAAAAGCTAACTAAATTAGCCTACTGCCACCTATTATCGGCTGACTGACTTTCATGATTTGGATTGACTTTGAAGCCATTGTAAGACTGCATTTTAAAATTAAGTGACCATCAAGCCACAGGTCTGGTGGATGTCATTACAGAACAGGTGTAGCCAACTGATTTCTCCATGTCATTTGCAAATCCAGAATGCTCCATCTTCCATGCCTAGAGATGAAACTGAAGCACATGGAAAGATCTGTTTATGAAAACTGTGTCGACAGCCCCTCCTGTTTTACAAGGATGAGTTGATTGATCACGTTGGGCCACATATCATGCCACAAAATGATAATATGTTTGCTTACAACACAGGTAGACGTGGGTGTGGTGCACTTCACTCCCTTAATACACCCCAAGATACAGCAGCCGTTCAAGCTGGTGGAAAAAGTTGTCCAGAATGTATTTCAGTTCCGAAGGAAATACTGCCATCGAGGGCTCGGGTAAGAATGCCTTTTCTTCTCTTCAGTCACAGTCTATAAAATCCTCAGGTACTTTTTAAGAGCAAGAACCTTGTTTGCTCAATTCTTAAAGCTCCCTGTGAGTATTACACTTAGTTCAGTCCTATGATGGACAAGACTTCACTGCCACTGAGGAGAGAGCAAAGACTTGCTAGACCTCAGGTGGCTCTCACAGGGTGGCTTTACCGTAAGCACATCTTGGAACTGGTGTGCTTGGAACTGCACAGCTCACGTTGGCTCTGTACCGGGGAGCTCGTGGTTTCCCAGTGAGGACTCGGACAGATAATAATGGGTCTTAAAATGCTTGCTTTCTACCAAGTTGCCCCATCTCTTCTTTAAGGATACACTTGAGAACTAGGAAGCACAAACAACTTCTGAACAGCCAAAATCATTTCACGAAGCCCTTACGCAAGCACGTCTCCATCTTACAGAAAGCTGCTCCTCCCGAGAGGCTCACAGGAGCAACTGGGGAAACTCGACGGAGCACAGTGGTCTAAAGGTCACCCACCTCAATGGGCTCTGAAGGACCATAGCCGTTGTGCAGATCCAGGAAGAGCCAAGAAACTGTTTAGTTAGGCCCAGAATCTGCTTAAGAAGGCAGGAAAGTGTGTATTTGTAAAAGATTTCCATCTATGATAGTCTTATCCATATTCAGCTGTTCAAAGGGGCTCAGCCTGAGAGCCACATACTTCTCATTTTCTAAAACCTCTTCACTTGGCTTCATTTTAATTCTCTCCTTCACAGGGTCCAGAGTGTCCCTTTAGCACATGAAATGATGGCAGATTATTTCAGGGGCCAGCCAGGCATCAGCTCCTAAGAGCACTGTAGTCCACAAAGCCCGTTCCTGAGGATGCCAGATGGCAGAGGTTAAAGCCTCAGCCTGCCACTTGTTGCCTCTAATTAAGCCAGGATTCCCACCTTACCAGACAGTTCCTACTTCTCTATCAGAGACTTAAGGTGCAGAGCTGGTGACTGGCCAGCCATTTTGGTGCTAATTAGCACAAAGACACCTCTCTGGCTGCAGCCCCCAGCTGCGGTGCACTACTGGTGAGTGAAACGGAAGCTGGATTTTGGCTCACATGCGGAGCAGAACCCACATAGCTGTACCCAATAGTCCTGATTCATGGGGGGAGGGGGAGCACAAAAACTATATCCTTTTATGTACTTTTGAAAATCCTGAAATTGGTCTGAGCTTTGAGCTGGCACTAGTGTTTGCAAGGCAACCCCCCAGCTAAGTGAAGGGCCGCATTCATTTCAGATACACAGTCCTCAGGACAGATGTGGGCCAGATACTGTGCCGTCTGGGGCAACAGACCTGTTGGTGTGCTTCAGGTGTTAGAAACCGTCATCAGGCCCTCTTTGCCATGGATCTGAACTCAAAGATCTGTCACCTCACCCTGAAAGTGTGAGGGACATGCAATTCATTGCTGAGAGGACCATCAGCCTGTAAGAAACATGCAGTCTCCCCTGGCCAGGACACTGTTCAAGCCCTGTGGGATAAGCTCTGTAAGAGCCCTGAGACTTAAAAGAATGCAATCCAGGCCTCACTCCGTAGCATTTCAAGCAGTTCTGCTAGTCATTTTAGAACAGTGGTTCAATTTGCATAGATGAAATGTAAAATATATACTCAAAGATGCTTGAAAAATAAGTGGAATAATTATTTATATTTTCATATAAGCTGTTTTCAGACTTTTAGCAAAACAAGTAACTCTTTTAGCATGAAGAGTTCCAAAGGCTGATAAATTCAGATTCTAGAGACTCAGAACTAGAGATTTGTCACACAAGAAATAATACAACTTTCACATTAAAACATGAGGCAAATCAAACTTATATTGCAGATGTTACTGTAAACTTACTAACCTTAAAAATACATGTACTGATTGAGCTTTGGAGAATATTTTCCCATTGTGCGGATGCCTTGCGCATCGGGTTAGAGCTGCCTCAGAGGCGGCCCTGCCTGTTACCTGGTGCTATAATCCCAGAGGCTCAACTGTGCTGTTTTCCAATGAGGGTTAAAAAGTGTCATGATTTGCAGAATTAAGTAAAATTCTCATTTTTCCCTCTTCCCCTCAGAATGTTATTCCCTGAAGCGCAGCGCTTGGAAAGCACGGGCAGGCTGTTAGAGCTGGCAGACGTGGACCCCACTCTTCGGCCCCGCCAGCTCTCCATCCCACAATTTAAGAGCCTCTGTGATGTATACAGAAGAATGTGTGATGAAGACCCACACCTCTTTGCATATAATTTCAGAGAAGAACTCAAGCAAAGAAAAAGCGAAAAGAAAGAAGAAGATAATGAGAGTCACAGACTCTAGCCACCGCCTGGGGGTGAGCAGCCTACAGGATGTCAGTTTTCACCACATGGAGCTTCTTATATATGGGTACTTTTTTGTCTTTACAGAATGACAATAAAAATGCCAGTGACCAGAGGTGACTTACTTTCCTTTTACTATACAGCTTGGCAGAGAAAATAAATATCATCAAATAAGGTACAGTACAAGCTTTCTTTTAATATATACTGCATAGATATGACATGTTTAGTATAAACAACATCTATTACAATCTTACAAAAATGAAGTATCTGCACATTTTGCCCCTAAACCACATTAAAATAAATATGCTTTAAATAAAGCAAAAACTAACAGCTGAAGGAAAATGCCCAGAGGATTTTAAAAAAATGACCCTTTAAAAGCTATTAATCACAACTTCCCCAACCTTACTTTTTCCACATAACTTAAAATAGAATGCAATTGTAAGGATTCTAAATCATTTGATACCTGCTCAGAAGGGATATAAACTAAGTAATTTACAGATTCTGACCAGTTTCATCTAGGTTTCTGATCCACAATAAATTAAAATAACTTAAATCTTTACAACTATTGTGTGGGAAAATGTATACTGCACAAAACCCAGTAATTAATAGTTTTTGTCGTTGTTGTTGTTGCAATTTCCACTTTACCACCAGTTTAAAAGTAAAATGAGGAATTAATTTAACCCATATCTGGATTGAATCATACTATGATTTTCCGTGGCTCTCTGTTTCATAAAAACACTCCTCACTGACAACAGATGTCAAACTCTGGACACTGAATTCTCGCTCTAGAACAGAATTTAGATCGATAGTGGCATTTTCAGATTGACTGTCAAGGGACTGGTGACGTATCTGTGCCTTGAGCAAAGTTCCTCTGTCCCTCTTAGTGCTGTTGGCTTTTCGTTTGATGGGGCAGAAGTGCCCCCGGACCAGTTTGGGCTGCTCTCCTCCTTTCTGGCCCTCGCCCGACTCCAGGCTGGGCTGCTGCTCAGCCTCAAGGTGAACGTCTGGGTCCTCAGAAATTCTCAGTCTCTGGAACTGAATTTCGATGTCTTTAGTAGGGCTGCCCCGCTTCAGAGTCTGATGGTAGTCATCATCTTCGTCGCTCAGGATGTCACTCTCTTTGATGAGATTGTCTGCAAAATCTGCCAAGCCAGGATGTGGGTATTTCCCAGGAGAGGTGCTCTTGGAGTCCTGTCTGCCCTCGGCTGTGGGGCAGCCGCTGCTCTGGGTGCTGCTGCTCAAGCTGCCCTCATCCGAGTCCAGCAAGGTTCCCTTGCCAGTCTCACCTGTCCACTCACTGCTGGAGGAATTCTTCAGGACTTTTAAAGACCTGGATGAAGCTGCAGTGAGAAAAACACATTTCGCTGTGATACAGAAACAGGTCACACAATGTGTAATGTTTGCCTCAAAGCTTGTGTAAGATTTAACGTCTTTGTTTGTTTTTGAGATGGAGTCTCGCTCTGTTGCCAGGCTGGAGTGCAGTTGGGTGATCTCGACTCACTGCAGTCGCCACCTCCTGGGTTCGAGCATTTCTCCTGCTTCAGCCTCCCAAATAGCTGGGACTACAGGCATGCACCACCATGCCTGGCTAATTTTTTGTATTTTAGTAGACACATGGTTTCACCATGTCGACCAGGATGGTCTCAATCCTCCTAACCTGCCTCAGCCTCCCAAAGTGTTGGGATTATAGGTGTGAGCCACCACACCCAGCCAACATTAAACATCTTAAGATTTTATTTTTATGATATGACTTCAGTTAGCAACTATCCTGGTATTTAGGCAAAAATGCAGCTACTAAAAACAGCCTGGGCGGAGTGCAATGGTGTGATCTGTGCTCACTGCAACCTTCGCCTCCTGGGCTCAAGTGATCCTCCCACCTCAGCCTCCCCAGTAGCTGGGACTACAGATACACATGACCACGCCTGGCTAATTTTTATTTTTTTTTTTGTAGAAATGGGGTTTTGCCATGTTGCCCAGGTTGGTCTCAAAACTCCTGTTCGCAAGAGCTCAAGGGATCCACCTGCCTTGGCCTCCCAAAGTGCCGGGATTACAGGCATGAACCACCATGCCCAGTCTAGAAAATGCTCTTTATCTCTCATGAGAACTGTCTCTCCTGGAACTCCAAACCAACCTTCTGAAATTTGATGTTACAGGGGTGTGTGTGTGTTTCTCTTGGATTGAAAGAAAGATAGGAGTTCTCAGTTTGGGTGTTTCTACAAATAAGAACACCATATTATGTTGATGGCCAGTTTACTTTGATAATGGAGACAATAGTAAATATGTGGTAAATCTGAAGAGGTCACACTGTGATTTAAAGAGAAAAAGAGAAATTTTACATTTTCTAAGACTAAAAACAACAAAGATAATAACAAAATAGTTAATGTAGAAATAAGGTCCTGAAAACTTAAGCTGAAATTTTAGAAACAAGCAGAACAACATGATTTGGAATGCTTACTTGGTGCCTTATCAATTAAGAATGAATATAAGATGCCCCTTAACTTGGATGGCATTACACCCCAATCAACCGATTGTTAAGTTGATAATACTGAAAGTCTGATATACTACTGACCCTCATGGTCAGGCATCTAGCCTGCCTTCAGTGTGCTCAGAACACTTACGTTAGCCTATAGTTGGGCAGAGTCATCTAGCACAGAGGCCTGTTTTATAATTAAGTGTTGTGAATGCTGCACTAGAAGTGAAAAACAGAATAGTTGTCTGGGTACTAAAAGTATGGTTTCTACTGAAGGTGTGTCACTTTCACACCATGGTAAAGTCGAATAAGTGCAGGTTGAACCATCAGAAGGTAGAGAGCATCTGTGTAGTAAGGTTTCTTGATCTTCATTCAGCATTGACCTTCAGGATACCTGGGACTGCTCTGAGCACTGAGAATACAGCAGTGAGGAAAACAAAGCCCCAGGACTCATGCACATCTTAGTGGAAGAAATAAGATCGTACATTTGGACTATGTCAGCTGGTAGGAAGAGAAGGGATTTGGGGTTGGGGGGTGGCTGTATTTTACAAAAGAATGTCTTGGAGCAAAAGACATGTTTAAGTCTCTTAAAAGGAGATAAAGTTACCCTGATGACAAAGTGATAACTCACAGCTGTATTATAAGAGCATATATCCTTTTTAGAAGCTCATGTTTTCTTGAATAAAACAAGGCTAGCAAAATTCTCACCTAATTTTGCCGAAACGGGAACTCGGTTCTTAAGAGGTACCAGGCGATCCTTACATGTTTTCTCCAGTGGTAATTCACACTTTATGTGACGCCTGAAGTTTTCCCTCAGAATAGAACGAATCACCTTAACAATGTTGGTTTTGCTTTCACTGTCGCTTGGTAAGGGGGAGAGAAAACATCGTAAGTATTCAGAGTGCTCATCGTGCTCCCATTCTACACCCGCCTGTGTTCCCATGCCTTGTACCTGCTGGGCCAGGCCGCCAGCCACCCAACAGCCGTGCCATGTGGCCTCCCGTACAAAAGGAGGTGAGAATTGATCACTCTAAGATTTTGATATTTATTTAATCAACTTATTCTCCTACTTGCAGCCTTGGTTGCCTTTTTTAGAGGGCAGGGAGTGTGACCCGGATGTCACCAAAATTCAGGAGGGCACTAAAAATAAGCTCCCTTCTTTAAGAGACATAATTCTATGTTATTTCTGTTGGTTTTAATCTTCAGAAGTCAGTAATACCTGCAACACAACTGAAAGATGGTTTCTGGCCGTCCTTCTATTTCTGACTTCGTATGGATCAGTTCCCATATGGAATTATTTTCTGTCCCTGTGTAAAAGGAAATGGAAACAAGAGTCTACAACTTTGCCCAAAATGCTGTGGTTAAGAATACTTGTAAAGTTAAAATCTCATGACTTAACAAAGTTATTAAACTTTGTTTTATCAACTTTATTGTCTTCTGTGGCTTCTTCTATGTATCATTTTCACAGTTACAAGAACTGTGCCTTTTGGTTACTTTTCACATTTCCTGCTGCAGACTTTCCTCCATCTGAACTGCCTTCTCCCTACCTCTGGAGCCCCTCTCTGGGGAAAAGATTTGGTGGATCCCATTCTTCAACCCTCCTTGTAGTTCCTTTCCTTGGAAGGAACGGGTGCCTGCGGTACTTGAGGTAAAAGAAGCCAGCCCCAAATGAGGTCTGTTCTAGAAAACATAAGCACTTCTGACAAAACCTAAACAGAAGCCCATCAGGTCACTGCATGACTCAGCCTGCTGGCCTTTTCTGTCACCAGAGGCCTGTCACCAAAACAGGGTTACTCTGGAAGGATCTCTGTACATTTTCCAGAGTCAAAGATTTTTTTTTTTTATATAACTACCTAACCTTAAGGAATTTGTGGATCTTTGTTTTTCTAACACATTTTAAGGGTATCAAGGGTATTAGGCAGAAAGGAAAAGTTGAAAACTATTGTTAGGGAAAATAAGGAAACAATGGAGAAAGACATTTGGCAAAGAAAAATCTATCCACCAGCATTTAGTTTCTCCCAGAAGTCTGCAAAGGAACGTCAAAACAACCTCTCTTGTCGTTATTTTCCATGTCTAGAAAATAAAAGGCACCAAAAATGATCCCCAAGGTCCTTTCTTATTTTTCATTCCACAGTTAAGTCTACTAAAATGCTTTTTCTGGCATCGGATTGCATGAAACATTTACCTGCTGGATTCCCAAGTCTGACTTGAAGTGCGGAGATGGGGATCAGCCAGCGGAATTTAAACGGATCCAAGTCAGCAGAACCGTGCGCAGGTCGGGAATTTGAGGGCTGTAACGTGAAGGCCCACCAAGAAAAGTGTTAGGGAAGCTCTCACTGGGGGAGGACATGTGCACAGGGAAGATGAGGCTATGTTCTCCTTGCGGGCAAGTCTCCAAGCAGCCATGTGAGTGTTCAGGGCATACAAGTCAATCAGCTATGCACCCAATTCTCAAAGACCTCACACGCTGGAGAAGGCGGGGAGGTGGAGTTGTGGTTCAGAAGCAGTTACAGGTCTCAAAGCAAGAACAGCAGCCAAGGCTTCATGCCTTCATACTACCTCTTAATGGTAAACCGATGGTGTGTGGTATCCACAGCTAACCTTGTTTTTGTTTTTTGAGTCAAGGTAAAAGGCATTTGAAAATAAACCAAACTTTCAGACTGTGTGTATGGAACAAACATGGGCCATTTTCGGGGATATGAAAGCTGATGTTCTGTGTAGGCCTCTGCATTAGTATTTGTCTATTTACTTATTTATTGACATGGTCTCACACTGTCACACAGGCTGGAATGCAGTGGCATGATCAAGGCTCACTGCAGCTTCCACCTCCCGTGCTCAATTGATCCTCCTACCTCAGCCTCCCGAGTAGCTGGAACCACAGGTACGTGCTACCACACCCAGCTGCTTTTTATATATGTTATGAGGCAGGGTTTCACCATGTTGGCCAGGTTGGTCTCAATCGCTTGACCTCCTGATCCGCCAGCCTTGGACTCAGCAACTCCTGGGCACAAGCCTCAGCCTCCCAAAGTGATGGGATTACAGGCATGAGCCACCATGCCTAGCCATACATCTTTAAAAACAGACATCTTTCACAGGGAGACTCAGAAACATCCTCAGTATGTGGTGGGGTGAGTTACCCAGAGTAAACAGTATCAGTGCGGAGTTGGTGTTCAGTGGGCTTTTCAGTTCAACATTAATAGGAAGATAAAGCCATGAAAAGGGAGCTTAAATTAAAATGAATTTTTGCCTTACCAATTTCTTTTTCAGTTTGCAGTTTTCTTTGTAAACCAATATGACGGCTCTTTTAAAAACTAAAGAAAGGAAAAGAGAAAGAAAGTCTTTATTTTATGCAAACTTTTCCAAGGTTAAACTATAGCTGAATGTCTTAACAGAATAACGCTCTTCAAATGTATTTGTCTCTAAGACTTTACTCTGCCAACACGAGGGAATAAATGGTACTTCTCATTTGCTCATATTTGAACTATGCAGAAGTACCTGCTTATTTAAAAGCTACTATTGGAAGGAGATCTTGGTTTTAAACTCTTTGTTTTATTGAAGGCTAAGGGCATTGTGTTCATCTCAGTGACAGTATACTGTCACTTGCTCTCCCAAGTCTCAGAATTAAAACATCTTGAAATGCAACAGAGTATTAAGATAGCAGGTTTCTGGCTGGGCACGGTGGCTCACTGAGGTCAGGAGTTCAAGACCAGCCTGACCAACATGGTGAATCCCCTTCTCTACTAAAAATACAAAAATTATAGCTGGGCATGGTGGCAGACACCTCTAATCCCAGCTACTCGGGAGGCTTAGTTAGGCAGGTGAATTGCTTGAACCCAGGAGGTGGTGCAGGTTCCAGTGAACAGAGATTGTACCCTTGCACTCCAGCCTGGGCAACAAAAGCGAAACCCTATCTCAAAAAAAAAAAAAGCAGATTTCAAAATAGCCTCAGGAATCTGTTCCTGTAAGGGAGAACAAGATAATGAGGATGCAGAGCAGTGCTGGAGTTTTAAATAGTTGGAGGCTGGCCCTGTTAAATCCCCAACCATTAGAGCAACTCTCTGACTCCTTGAACTTGAGAGTGAGCTGGACTGGTGCAGCTTGTGAAATTCTTCATTACTCCCAGCCTCTTTTCAGTCTTCATTCTTCTAAATGGAATACTAACCAAATAATGTGAGTTCAAGGTCCTTTCTGGCTTTTCCTAGAGACAGAAATGGATTCAACCAGGAAACCGTGGAGTGCATCAGAAGCTCTCCCATTGAAAGTTCTGTTACCTAGATTGTAAAAACAGGAGGTAAGGAAGACGTGGAAATCCCAGGCTAGATCTTCTCATGTTAGATAGTGATGTACTCACACAGTTATTGCTAAAATGCAAGCACAGCTTGTTTAATTTTTATGATCTCTGTAAATATGGGGCCTTAAATAGTAGTGGGGGTTTTGAAAACATGAGCCACACACCAAAGTGATAAATAACAAAGGTGAAGGCATTTTGCTCCAATGCACACACACGTAGGTGAGACATGCTTTGTGACCAACTCAATTTCCATAAGATTAACTCTACCAGTGTCTGTGGTTCTTCCAGAGTGCCTTTGAAAGTTTTCCCTGGGATCTAGTACATACACCACCTCTGAGCTCCATTCGGGCTGCTGATAAAAGAGCACCAGCATTGAAACTGGCCAGAGTGAAACACTGATCTCCAGCTCTTTTCCGTTCCTGCCATTTTCTTCCTAAACTACGCTACTTCCTGCATGCAGGCTTTAGAAGCACAAGCTTCTAAACTAAGCAATCAGATAAAAAGGAAAAATACATAAAATGTCAAATCCTGCTTGGACTAGTTTTATAAGTAAGCAGGTAACCAACAATATTTGATTTTTTTTTTTTTTAAAAAAAAAAAGCAAAATAAAGGAAAAGCCCCACACTCTACATGCCAGTTCCCACTTCCTTTCTCTACCCTGCCGTCTGCCAGCTCACTCTCCATGGATGTTCCAGCCAATTTTAATGTGACATAAGGTCATATTTTAAACTAGTGTAATGAATGTTATGATATGTCTATATGTAAATTGTATAGTTCATTAGACACATTATCAAGAAAATCTTAGGGAGTATCTTCCCCAGGAAAATCCTACGAGGACAGCGTATCTGGAAGGTCACCACAGACCCCACAGCCATATGCATTAGGCTCCCAGAGTGCAGGCGTCTCACGGACCTCCTTCTCTGTCCCACTCTGCTCGGCTACTAGCTGGTCAAACACAGTTCCATAATCCTCATAGATCTTCTGCATCTCGTTGATGTGGCTCGCTACTTTCTCCATTGCCTTTAGTGCTTCTGCAAGATATGAAATCCTTTTTATAACTGTTAATTTGTTTTAGATCCAACAGTAATAATGAAAGGAGTCAAGACTCAAGTCAGGATCCCAGACCAGTACCTACTGGCAGGATCACTGCATTCAGATTAAGTCACACTGTAGTCCAGCCATTAGAATGAAGAACAGCGAAATTACCTCCTACCTCAAACTCTGTTTGAAATGAGGCGGAGTATCAGTGAAAGGTTTCACTAATAACAACAAGTAACATTTATGGAGCCCTTTGTACCTGGCAAGGATCACGACAGGTAATTTGTGTGAATCATCTCATTTAGTCTCCACAGTAACTCAAAAACTAATCAGGCCAGGTGCAGTGGCTCATACCTGTAATCCCAGCACTTTGGGAGGCCAAGGCAGGTGGATCACAAGGTCAAGAAATCAAGAGCATCCTGACCAACATGGTGAAACCCCATCTCTCTTAAAAATGTAAAAATTAGCTGGGTGCGGTGGCACAGTCCTGTAGTCCCAGCTACTCAGGAGGCTGAGGCAGGAGAATCGCTAGCACCCAGGAGGTGGAGGTTGCAGTGATCTGAGAGCACTCCTTCTCACTCCAGCCTGGTGGCAGGGTAAGACTCTGTCTCAAAATTTAAAAAGACTAATCAATCCCATTTTACAGATGAGAAAAGTGAGTTCCAGAGAGGAAAACACAAGAATTAGGCCAGGTTTCAAACCCAAGACTGACTGGACTTAGGGCGCCAGCTCTCAAGTTTGGCTTCCCCTTCTGGGAACCGGGATCTAGGTGTAAGTAGAACATAGAAATACCCCTGCACATGACTGACTGACAGAACAATCGTTTGCATTTATATGTAATATATGTTCATAACTTTCCATGAGGAAATATGAGGGACAAATTATTTTATAAAAGCAAAATTTTAGGTCACTTCCAAATTCAATATTCTTCAAACATTTTTTTCTCCCAATTCAGTATTTTAATTCTATCTGGAGGGAAGTTTGGAAGGAAGTTTTTGTTTTCTTTTGTTTTTTGAGACAGTTTCACTCTTGTCCAGGCTGGAGTGCAATGGTACAATCTCTGCTCACCGCAACCTCCAACCTCCTGGGTTCAAGCGATTCTCCTACTTCAGCCTCCCAAGTAGCTGGGATTACTGGCATGCAGCACCATGCCTGGCTAAGTTTATATTTTCAGTAGAGATTGGGTTTCTCCATGTTGGTCAGGCTGGTCTCGAACTCCCAACCTCAGGTGATTGCCCACCTCAGCCTCCTCAAGTGCTAGGATTACAGGCATGAGCCACTGCACCTGGCCTGGAAGGAAGTTTTTAAACCCTTCTGAAGATCATCTTAATGCAAAATGAAGTTTTATACAATATGAATGCTGAATATAATTTGTATTATTTACTTAAGAATTTAACTGTCATGTAAAAATGCTTTCCCTTTGTTGATTTTGATACCAAAGTATGCTTGTCATGGAAAAAGAGCCAGTTTAATTTATACTCTTCCCATTTATATATTATATAAATATATATATTTAAATAATAAATATAGTATTTATTATTCAGTAATACTAACATGTTAACAAGTCTTTCTCTCCCCAGAAATTCTATCACCTATGGTTTAACCAGACCTCCTAATTTCAATAAATGAACAGGCCACTATCCCCAATCCAAATAAAGCCCTCTATAAGGATCCTCTGTTTACCATCAGACTGCAGGGCTTTGTGTTTTTGACAAATTGTGTCTCAGGCAGGCCAGTCATTTCAAAGGATCAAGCAATAACACAGCAGCGGCGACTTGAAAGCGTAACCCATCATTGGAAGTTTGATTTCGGAGCCGCGCTCTGCTCAGATATCTCCACAAGGTGGAGCCTCACCCAACAAATCCGACCAGCAGCTGGGCCGGCAAACACCACAAAACTTCACCAAGTGGTAGGAAAACAGACGTGATTTTCAGTTCCAGCAGCCCTGCTTCACAGCCACGTGACCTGAGGTAATTTACTTCTTTTAAAAGTGAAGACAGAACTGTCCCTGTATGAGAGTAGTATGGGGCTACCCAGATGAGATCATTTTTACCGAAGTATTTTGTAGGCTCTAAAGGAGCGACCATATACCTAGCTCTGTTCACATATTCACAGTCAACCTAAGGTTAACCATCACAGAACTGAAAAATGACGCAGGACGTGCTACGTAGGCAGGGAAGAGGTGAGCTGGTAAGCCCAGGGCACGGCTGGCAGCCCCTCGCCGCCCTTTGCAGGCCCTCACCCAGAGGTGTGGCCACCTTACCTGTCAGGTGGTAGTGCTCTTCGCTCTCCTGGTCTGTCAGGGACACCAGCTCCTTGAGCAGCAGCGGGTACTTGAGCACTCTCTGAACCGGCTTGATGAGGTAGGACTCCAGCGTAGAAGAATGCTGCTTGGTGGGGTTCCGGGCGTCCAGAAAAGCCTTAAAGGCTTTGTCAGTTTTAGCTGCAAGCAGATGGATAAAAGACCTTAGAAGAGCACAGTGGGGTGAATTAAATTCATTTCTCTTTTAACATTTATAGATCATCCATTTCTATAGTCCTCCTAATGCCATTCTTTAATAAAAACCCGAACACATCAGCGGGTCAGGCACCCAGCTGTCAGCGTGGGATTCTGCATCACAGCCTGACAAAGCCCTGGAGTGCCGGGAGCTTCCAAGGATGGAATACAGCTGCACACCAAAGTTGAGTCAAAGCTGACTCAAAATGCAGGAATGTCTGACTTTCAAGACACATTTCATGCATATGTATGAGAAATACTGTTAAAGGTGGCCTAAAAAGTGAGTTTCAAACAATTCATTAAAAGCCATGATGCATGGGTGCAGTGGCTCACTCCTGTAATCCCAGCACTTTGGGAGGCCAACGTGGGCAGATCGCCTGAGGTCAGGAGTTCAAGACCAGCCTGGCCAACATGGTGAAACCCTGTCTCTACTAAAAACAAAAATTAGCTGAGTGTGGTGGTGGGCACCTGTAATCACAACTACTTGGGAGGCTGAGGCAGGAGAATCACCTGAACCCAGAGGCAGAGGTTGCAGTGAGCCGAGATCATGCCACTGCACTCTAGCCTAGGCGACAAAGCAAGACTCCATCTCAAACAACATCAAAAAGGCCATTAAGCAATGTTATCCAGACCCTACACCACACCCACAAAAAATTCACGAAGAAAAATAAGTCGGTGTTTTTCCCACTGGCCTCACACTAGTTGTTGCTTGCTCTGTACACATACGGGCTATTTGAAAAGCAGTATCTTTTCTCCTGTAAAGTAAGATGACAGGCACTGCAGCCTACAGCCTTCACTCCACAGTTCCCTTCCACTAGGCATGGCAGTGGGACCCTCTCTGGCAATGTAAACTGCCCCTGTTCAGTGTCTGGGTGCCATGAAGGGCATGCATAGGAATCCAGGTGCATTTAGTTTGAGTGCCAGCAGATACACCAGCAGTACTTTGATTCCACTAGTAATTCCACTAGTAATTGGATGACCAGTTGCTTGGAATGCAGCTACTCTGAAGGAAGATACACCCTTATTTGGGTTGTGTTATAAGATCAAAATCTACAACATTCTAGGAGATGCAATATCATTTTGAATGTGATTACCAGGCCAAGTAGGTGGTGAGATGACCCTTCTTCTTTACGACAAAGGAGGAACTGAGCAAGCCACTGGTAGGTGTTCATTGTACTGCACTGACTGTCAATATGTATTGTCAAGCGCATTGGTATGCTTTCATTGTACTACAAACTGTCAATGTGTAGGTGCTTATGGGCCCAGCATGGTTGCTCATGCCTATCATCCCAGCACTTTGGGAGGCCTAGATAGGAGGATCACTTGAGGCCAGGAGTTCGAGACCAGTCTGGGCAACACAGTGAGACCCATCTCTACTTTTAAAATAAATAAAATTTAAAAGAGGGTGTTTGTGGGAGGAAATGCCAACAGAGTTCAGGCATCTGTCTAAAGCAACTAGAGAAGATGGATTCTGCCTGGCCCTTGCTCCCTTGAAGCATTCTGAGACTGCACTTTTTAAACGCGGGGCTTTTCTTCTGGAATACTATGAGGTTTGGGATTAAAACCCAGTAGCAGAGCTGCATCCATGGACATGAATGAACACTAAGCGTGTCAGGATAAATCTCCAGGTGCCTTCTAGGACTGCACAGAGAGAAACACGGAAGAGCAAACTTTGGGAAATGTGAGCTTTTTCCAGTTGCACCAGAGAGACTTTACATTCAGCTGACATGTTTGGTGGTGGTTTGGTGGCAGGTTGTTTCAGATAGCCCTTAGGTGTACAGGCTTAAGAAGGATAACAAGTGGCTCATGCCTGTAATCCCAGCACTTTGGGAGGTCAAGGTGGGTAGATCACCTGAGGTCAGGAATACCAGACCAGCCTGGCCAACACAGTGAAACCTCATCTCTACCAAAAATACAAAAATTAGCTGGGTGTGGTGGCAGGCACTTGTAATCCCAGCTACTTGGGAGGCTGAGGCAAGAGAGTCACTTGAACCCAGGAGGCAGAGGTTGCAGTGAGCTGAGATCACGCCACTGCACTCCAGCCTGGGCGATGAGCGAAACTCCGTCTCAAAAATAAAAAAGGTTAACAAGTTTAAAAAAAAAAAGCATTTCTTTCTACTCCTATCTAGGGTTTGGGTTGCAAGTTTTTTGAGAAAGGAATTTGGCAAAAAAAGAATCCAGATGTAACTGACACCAAAGTGACACATGGCAAAGCAACATCTGTGCTCTTAGGCACACTTGTTCATGGCTATCAATAAACTGACATAAACAGAAACCTTCCCCTTTAATATTTGTCACTGTCAAGGTCAAGGACAGAGCTTAATACATCAAAATTGCACTTACCCTCTACTTGTTAAATACAGATTTACCCTTTACTAACAGCTAAAAATACAAAAAGCACAGCTATAAAAGGCATAAGGAACTTACCTCGCTCCAGAACCTTCTGTACTTTGATATGGTTAGCACAGAATCCACTGTACAGTTTAAAGTGGTCCGCATAATAAAGGAAAGAGCCTCCAAGGGAAAACAGTAATTTCTAGAAGGGTAGAGGGAAAGTCAAATCAGACATGGTTTAATCAGTGTGTGTTGGCTTATGCCATCTGATGGCCCCCTGGCTTCTGTCAGACTCCACAGCACCAGTGCCTTAGAGAAGGTCAGTCCTGCTCCATCCACACAGGAAGCGGGGAATAGCCAAGGCACTAACTGGCCAGTCTCTATCTTGACTGAAAAGTTTCCAGCAGCAGAGCCTGCTGACAGTGTGCAATCCAAGGACAAGAAACAAAGTTCTATAAAAATACAGCTGACAAAGTGGGATGTAAATGATCTGAGAAGTTCATTAATAAAGCTGACTCCGCACTGCTTGGGTAGAATGATGCTGTCTGTATGGTTCCAGGTTCCTAGGCTACTGCCTTCCCCCCTCTCTTCCTTGGAGGGGCTTCCTGCCCATCACTGTGGCCTACACGGATTCTGTGGAGCACCAGTGCTTAGAAGAGAGGGGTCAAGCCCAGCAATTAGAAACCTATACTCTTTTTTTTTTTTTTTTTGAGACGGAGTTTCACTCTTCTTACCCAGGCTGGAGTGCAATGGTGCGATCTCGGCTCACCCCAACCTCCACCTCCTTGGTTCAGGCAATTCTCCTGCCTCAGCCTCCCGAGTAGCTGGGATTACAGGTGTGAGCCACCATGCCCAGCTAATTTTTTGTACTTTTAGTAGAGACGGGGTTTCACCATGTTGACCAGGATGGTCTCGATCTCTTGACCTCATGATCCCCCCGCCTCGGCCTCCCAAAGTGCTGGGATTACAGGCATGAGCCACCGCACCCAGCCTTGAAACCTATACTCTTAATCCCAGATTCATATGACCACTGAGAAGAAGGATTGGACACAGGGTAAGTGTTCTGGTTTCAGAAGCAACCACCCTGGATATCCTTCTCTGAGAAAAGGGCATGTGCATGGTCAACAACCAGGTGGGCGGTGCTGCTGGACTTCTGACTGCCGGAAGCATGTGCACCAGAAAAAAAAAATGCAGCCTTTACTGCCTGCCAAGGAAAACGATGCAAGGAAAGCATCTGGACCATACTCACAGGACAACAAACGCTTTCTCACGGGAGGACTGTGCACCATATCCACTTATTTTTACTTTAAGCCTAAATCTGAGATACTCACTCTAAACTGTGAGGGGGTTTCCAGGATGTTAAAGTCAGATGATGCTGAAATCCCATCCTCCAGGGTCTCCAGAAACACCTTCTGAAACTCAAGCATCTCTGGCAAACTTCCAAAAAGTGACTCCATCTAAGTGAAGACCAGGATTTGAAGAGCGGATTAGCCATGGAGCTCAGGACACCACACTAACTCTTAGGCCCACAGATAAATGGCAAAGAAGTTCTTCACAGAAAAGCAGACAGAAAGTATATACTTTAAGAAGACAGTCCATTCATTATGGCATATGGTTTATACATAGAAAGTTTCACAGCTCCATCCCCTATAATTCTCCATTTCCACAGTCACTTTTTAAGTGGATACAATATTCTCAGAATTCAAAAAAAAATGCAAGTCAGTAAAAAAGAACTAAGTACATGGTTTAACATTACAAAGGTATGTACTAAAAAGTAATTTCTGGTCACACTGTCCTCTACCTCAGAAAGAGCATAACCATCTACCTCTGCCTGTGTAAACCCTCTGCCACTGTATCAGGCAGACAGCCAAGGCCACAGCAGTGTCTTGGGAGGAGACTATGCCTGGGACTCTCAGAAGACCCTTAAGTCTTGGGATGTTCTTTTGGGATCAGTAGAGTAATCTCATAGGAGTTCTGCTAAAAGGCAAACAGAGTCTGACCTGTGGGTCACTGCACATAAGGAAGGTCATTATTATTTACCTCATCTTGGGTAAGAAAGGTCTCATTCTGAAGTGGCTCCAAGTATAATTCGAAGAGGCAGCTCAGATCCTGAAAGAAAATAGACGAAAGTGTCTTCAACACTCTAGTCTCCAGAATACTCATGAGATTTGGGTAGCAGCAAACTGGCAGCAGCTCCCAAGGCTCCCGTCAGGATAATAAAGTTTGTGTCTTGTTGAAATTCTTTTTTTTTTTTTTTTTTTGAGACAGAGTCTTGCTCTGTCACCCAGGCTGGAGTGCAGCTGAGCGATCTTGGCTCACCACAACCTCCGCCTCCTGGGTTCAAGTGATTCTCCTGCCTTAGCCTCCCAAGTAGCTGAGACTACAGGTGTACTCTGCCACGCTTGGCTAATTTTTGTATTTTTAGGAGGGGCAGGGTTTCGTTGGTTTGGCTAGGCTGGTCTCAAACTCCTGACCTCAGATGATCCTCCTGCCTTGGCCTCCCAAAGTGCTAGGATTACAGGTGTGAGCCACCACACCTAGCCTTTGTTGAAATTCTGGACCCTAAATGTGGTGATTATTGCTCACCTAATTCAAAGACGTCAATACCGCAATACAGGCAACAGCTGGATTCCACACCTTTCTAGCTCGATCATTGCCTCTGCTTAGGTAAGTGTCTTGGTGACAGAAACACCCTTTCTCGGGCCACTATAGCAGGCACACTCCCCTGCAGACGAAGGCGGTCTGGGTGGCACTGGTGTCAGGTGCACCCCAGCTCCTGGCTTCTTCTGCCTCAGGGAGCACAGTGAGAGGTCCAGCATGGAGCTGGAGGGTCAAAGTATGGGAAGTCCTTCAACTTTGGGGTTGACAGATTCACAGAATTTCAAACTCATATTCAAAGTAATACAACATTTCCACGGAGCTTCAGCTATAATGGCTAAACTCAAAGCCATATTTGGGTCTCTTATAAACGAGGCTCCAGCAGGACAGTTTAGTGGGAGTAGACTGCAGTCACAAAGCCCATGAGCCAAAGGTTTTGTTTAATAATTTTACGCCAAAGCTGGGCGCAACGGCTCATTCCTGTAATCCCACCACTCTGGGAGGCCGAGGTAGGTGGATTACCTGAGGTCAGGAGTTTGAGACCAGCCTGTCCAACCCGGTAAAACCCTGTCACTACTTAAAAAAATGAGCCAGGCATGGTGGCAAACACCTGTAGTTCCAGCTACTCAGGAGGCTGAGGCAGAAGCATCACTTGAACTCAGGAGACAGAGGTTGCAGTGAGCCAAGATCATGCCACTGCACTCCAGCCTGGGCAAGAGAGCGAGACTCCATCTCCAAAATAATACTTTGAAGCCAAAACCAGGATATAATTTAGTGATAGAAAAGATTTCTCTTTTATTCTGAAGAATTTCAAGTCCTAAAATACTAGAGGCTGCAAAGTCAGCTATAACAACTCCCTCACTTCCCAAGACGGGAAGCTAAGACCCAGAGAGCTTTATAAAGCCCAAAACACCCCCAGAACTGTCTGGCACTAGTTTGGAGCAAGGCCAGGCCTGTGACACAGATGCTGTTTCACAATAAAAACCTCCCCACTATATTCCACACTGGACCACGGAGAAGGGAGATGACAGAAGTTACAGAATCATAATCTCAGGGAACACACAGATGCCAAAAATTTCAAGGAGCATGCAGGGATCCAGGTTAAAAAATGACAAGATTCTGTGTTAAACAGCAACAAAAAAGAAATGAAAAAACGGTGGTGTGTGTGTGAATCCCAAGAGGCACCAAGTGCGGGTGATTTTGTGAGTAGTGGGGCTGGCAGTCATTCCTCAAAGGCTGATGCTGCCCGGGAGGACTCACTGTGCAGCAAGGCCGGGTCCACATGGAGCTGGGGGGTGGGGGGGTGGGGGCAAAGTGCTGCGACCTGGGGGGCCCTAAGAAAACGAAGTGCAGGTTTCTTGCAGAGAGAAGAAAGAGTCACTCCTTGTCTACGTCACCCACGACACCACCTGAGTACTCTGCCAGCCTGTCACTGACATGACCCTCCCCGTGCAGCCTGGCCTAATAGTAAACTCCAACGACACCATTAACCAAAAGGGATATCCATTCTCCTCTCAGCTCTGCCCTTCACTCTGGGGCAAGAGCTCCAGGACTATTCTCAAGATGTCAGAAGGGCTCTGAAGCTTCCAGAACATCTACAGCTCCACACAGCGACTTGGAAAAAGGTGACTGGAGATGGATTATTCAGAAATCGAGTATGGACAGCCTAGCTGTTGACTTCATCTCCACATCCTGGATGCAAGACAAGGCATAATGGAAAGCAAAACTAAATTGTCATCTCTCTAACTTTTCTTTCTCCCCTTTGAGACCGAAAGAAGGGGATTTGGGAAGCTCTCCTGGTCTACCTGTGAATAAAGCCTTTGGAAAAGTCCAGGTAAAACAGTGACATTAACCAACAGGGAAGCTCAGATCTGTCTTGCAGACAGAAGGTAATAGCCGCATATGTGCACCAAGCCTTCATTCATGGACTCAGCAATTCAGAGCTGGAAGGCATTTAGAGAAGAGGAGGGACCAACTGTCTCAGACCCCAAATGAGGGAGTTCAGGGGGCCGTCCAAGGCTTTGCAGCCAGACGGAGGCAAAGCCGGGCCTGGACGCCTTCGCCCTCCGCGCCGGGCTGCACTGCTTCAGTAACTGACAAATGAAGCAAGCTTCAGATGGTCCCAAAGTTCCTCTGCTCCCCAGGCTCCTGTATTCTTTCTAAAATCTTTCTCAAACCACTGACTGGGGGCTTATGAGATGGATAAATGAATTCTTAGGGTACTCGAGATACTGGCCACTGCCCTTCACAATGGTTCAAGGATATTCCCATGTGCTGACCACTCCCCATTGTCGGGGCCCTGTTCTACACAATGACCACCAGTAGGCAGGGCTGGCCCAGGCCACTGCCAGGACTGTGGGGTCCTGGATCAGCCATCACATGTGTACAGATTGTTCCCAAGTTCCTCATCACCTAAAATGATCTCTCTCCCCTTTTACTAAACCAGTACAGACTCCCTTCCCACAGATTGCAAATGACAAACCAGAACATCTGTTTCCATAGCGAAAGCTACCTTGGTAACAAAGTAAGTCAAGGATCTAGTTTTTTTCTGAGTCTACTCAGCTCTCCCACCCTCTCACTCCTCCCCTCCCTTCCTCGAGGCAATTCACTGATTCAAGGAGCAGGCAATCCCCCCTGGGGAGTGGCAGGTGTCCGGGGCAGGGGCGATCTGGGGACCTCTGCCAACATATCACTCACCATCAGCAAAGAGGCACAAATGCATGAATGCCCAGCTCTCCTTACCTTCACATAGGACTTCTCTGTGTCCACAAGCTCCTGGATGACTTTGCGGAGACGGTCTGCATCGGAGAGGTGGCGGGCCAGAGGCCTTGGAGGAGGATCCTGACTCTCCCGCGGTCCTTCCATGCCGTTGGCCTGAGTGTCGTTAAAACTCCTGCACAGTGCAGTGATCTGCTCAGCACTCTGAGAGAGGACAAGAGGTGGAAAATAATGCATGGGCCCCTCCCTGTTGGAATCCGCTGCCTCCAAGGGCACCAAGTGTCTCCGTCTGTGCTCAGCAGGCATCTCAGAGGGGCCTCCCTGTAGGGCAAATGGTTTCATTCACCTCACACCCCTCTAGCTATCATTTCAGATCTGAGCGAGGAAGACGTGCGTCCACACTCGTGTTCAGTGTTTACACAGGAGGCTCTCCGTTGTCACATCAACTGTTAGATGAATCTCTGGAGCTGAAATTACAGAGTCATGGCCTAGGGCTAACCCTCTGCAGTCAAGGTAAGGTAGCTCTGAAATCAGGAAGTTACGACTTTCTAGGGAGCACAAGGAGCAGATGGCCTCAACAGGCCCGCGGTCCCCTCAGTGGTTGGCCTGCTCCAGTTTTCCATCATCCCCCACACAGAACAGCCCAGAGAGACTCAGGAGAGGTGCAGCCCAAGAGCAATTTCAGGATGACTTGGCCACAGTGGGCCCAGAGTTGTACCCTCCAATCTAACCGTTTTGCTCCACAGTCTGGTGCCAAGTAGCAGTTAGGAGTGAAAAAGTCTTGAGCTGCTTCACATGCCCATAATGGAGAAGAAGCAGATAAAGATGGTAAGATCCTTGCCCTAAAGGAGTTCATAGCCCTGAGAGGGCATGGGCAGGGAGCAGAAGACACACAAAGCCTGGTGAGGGTGAGAGGCCAGGGATAAACCAGCTTTGGGAAACCTCCATGAGGAGGGAGCTGAGCTGGTCTTTGCAGAGAGCCAGGGCGAGGCCTAGGGGGTGTGGACCCAGAGGAAATACTCACTCCTGATCATGACTGGTTTTGAAATGTGAAGGTCTGGGAGTGGCCACCAGCAGAATGATATGGTTTGGCTCTGTGTTCCCACCCAAAGCTCATCTGGTAGCTCCCATAATTCCCATGTATTGTGGGAGGGGCCCAGTGGAAGATGACTGATGACTGAATCATAGGGGTGTGTCTTTCCCATGGTGTTCTTACAATAGTAAATAGGTCTCACAGATCTAATGGTTTTAAAAACAGGACTTTATCTGCACAAGCTCTCTTTTTGCCTGCTGTCATCCACGTAACATGTGACTTGATTTTTTTTTTTTTGAGATGGAGTCTCACTCTGTACTCACCCAGGCTGGAGTACAGTGACATGATCTCAGCTCTCTGCAACCTCCACCTCCTGGATTCAAGCAATTCTCCTGCCTCAGTCTCCCGAGTAGCTGGGATTACAGGTGTCCACCACCACGCCTGGCTAATTTTTGTATTTTTAGTAGAGACAGCATTTTGCCTTGTTGGCCAAGCTGGTCTTGAACTCCTGACCTCAGGTGATCCACCTGCCTCAGCCTCCCAAAGTGCTGGGATTACAGTGCGAGCTACCGCACCTGGCTGTCATGGGTGTTTCTTAAAAAACTCCCCCAAGTGTTGCTAATGTGTGGGCTGCATGAGAACTACAGGTCTACTCATCCTTACAGCTCACATTCTCCTTGGATTTCTGGGAGTGGTGCTGGCTCCAGTGGGATCACCTGTCCGCAGGGGCTCCACTGAGGTAGTGGACTGAACTCACAGACTAGAGGAAATAAACAGAATCACAGCCATGACCCTGGTGTTCTGGGTGTGGCCTCCTATGAACTGAGCTAAAACATTCATGATGATAATACTCAGACTCCAGGACTCATTTGATTTGAAATCTCTATACTGGGATTTGTACCACAAGCTTAGACAATAGAATTCTGCAGGCCTGAAACCTAACAGTTCCCACGGCTATAGAGTCTATATTAAGCTTGAATATACTGTGTATAACAAGATCTGATAAAATGCATCTTAAGTTAAATGGCATCTGGTGAGATTACAGCTTTGCTTTACTGGGATGTCAGAAATCACACCTAACAATGCAGTGTTAAAATAACGAGATTTTACAAATTATCTTGCCATTTTAGAAAATCAGAATTCATTTTATGAACTTTTCTGGTAAGAGTAACTTCCAAAAAGTGAATGTTAAAATCTCATGGCAAATCTACTTCTTAAAGTACCACAATTAAGTGCTCAAGTGCTTAAAGCCACCTTTCACACATTTAACATGTTAGCTGTTGTCTAAGGGAGTTGGTGAGGATTACTTGGGACCAAAAGGAGGCAGGGCCCCCAATAGAAGAGTAATTATAAATGTGTCTTTCAGATTGTATCTGAAGGAGTCACTTGGGTGATTACATTTCAGTTTAGCCATTGTTCATGATGTTTATAAACAGAGGAACATTCTGGGTGGACCTAATCAGCACTTGATAGGAATAGTGATTATCTGGGCTGGGATATCTTCACATGCATATGTGGTGATAGGCCTGAAAAGCACAGGTGAGACTCAGAAGATACAGGCTGAAGTCCTGGCTCAGCCTCCAGCCTTCCATGAGCTCCTGGGCAAGTCTCCATTCTGTCTTCAGTGTCCTTCCTGATGATAAGGCAGCAGGAATGCCTATTCCATCAAGTGACCCCTCAAATTGCCATCTTGGTCAAGAAGAAAAGGAAACTCGCATTTGCTGAGCAGCTGCTGTACACCAGGGACAGTCGAGAAGTGTTTTCACAAAACCCACCAGCACTGCAGCTTTACCATGACTCTCCAGGGCTTTCCAGCTGAGGGACAAGGAGGCCTCAGTGAGACCTTAAATGGCATAGGCCTGTCCCCTCTCTAGCTCAGCTTCTCTCTCTAGCTGCATTCCCCTCTCTAGCTCTGTTCACCTCTCTAGTTGTTCCTTTCTCTGGCTCTGTTCCCCTCTCTAGTTCCGTCTCCAATTCTATTCTGTCTCTAGCTCCATTTCCCTAACTCCATTCCCCTCTCTAGCTCCGCTCCATCTCTAGCTCCATTCCCCTCTCCAGGTCTGTTCCATCTCCTCTAGCTCCCTTCCATCTTCTCTAGCTCCGTTCAGTCTCTAGCTGTCCACACAGCTCCTGCCACTTGCAGGTATTTAGTAGAGCACAGGCAAGTTCCTCAGGCCTCCTGCTGCCACTGCCTCCCATGTGGTCAGGGCTCTCCTGGCCCCAGGTATTCTAGGGATGCAGCCGCCTGCCTCTGGAGACCACCTCTGCATAGAGAGGCAAACACAGCTCATATGCAGACAATTGGGACATCAATTGAGCCTATCCCACCCCCACCCCAGGAATGATGCTTCAAAAGCAAAAGACTGGCCTGGCACAGTGGGTCATGCCTGTAATCCCAACACTTTGGGAGAATGAGGCAGGCGGCTCACTTGAACCCAGGAGTTCAAGACCAGGCTGAAATCCATCGCTACAAAAGATAGAAAAAAAAATTAGCCAGCCATGGTGGCACACGCCTATGGTCTCAGATACTCTGAAAGCTGAAACAGGAGAATCACTTGAGCCCAGGAGGTCAACACCATCCGGGACAACATAGGGAAACTCATCTTTACAAAAGATAAAAAGATTAGCCAGCCGTGGTGACACACGCCTGTGGTCCCAGCCACTTAGGATGCTGAGGCAAGAGTTCAAGGGTACAGTGAGCTCTGATGATACCACTGAGTGACAGACCAAGGCCCTGTCTCTAAAAATAAACAAATAAAAGCAAAAGACAGATGATCACAAGTTAGGGCTGGGAGTGTGTGAGGATTCAGTGGTCTAACAGCATGTGCATATGCAGAATAAAAAACAGTGGCACTCGAAATGTAGGCCTCAGACTGGTGTTTTCCAGTTTGCAGTAATCAATGCTACGAACTTGGGTTCATCACAGGCCTCAGATTTCATAAGAGAACACGAAACCTCATATTTTCTTTATGAAGCCATAAAAAGATTAAATGGAAACATTTTTCCAAAAACTATGCTATCTGGAAAGGCAATATTATTGAACCCCACCCTAAAAAATTTTTCTTTCAAGTTGCTTTTGTTTTGTTGAGACAGGGTCTCACTCTGCCATGCAGGTTGGAATGCAGTGGTGCAATCATAACTCACTGTAGCCTCAAACTCCTGAACTTAAGCAACCCTCCCACCTTAGCCTCCCAAGTAGCTGGAACTACAGGCGCATGTCACCACACAGAGCTAATTCTTTTGATTTTTAGTAGAGGGAAGGGGTCTCACTCTGTTGCCCAGGCTGGTCTCAAACTCCTGAGCTCAAGCAATCCTTCCACCGAAGTGCTGGGATTATAGGTGCCAGCCACCACACCGGGCCTTTATTTCAGGTTTTTAAGGTTATACTAAGGCTGACCCCTGCTTGAAAATGATTTTATCTTATTTATAGATGAGGAACAGCCTACTCAAGAGTTCTGAATTCAGGCAGACGTCTAAGCAGTTATTTTTGTTTTAATGTATGGATGAGGACATCTTGTCTATTTTCAAGGAGCCCATAAACCCATTTCTTGGGAGTGGCAAGAAACTGCTTAGGTGGCTCAAGCAGCTCGCCCAGATCCTCTTTGGAGGGATGCAGGGACACAGTCTTTGTCAAACCAGGCTCTGAGTCACTCAAATGAACCTTCTAACCTGGACTCAGTTCAATGCTTTTCATCAGAAAAATGCCATGACGGCCTCCTCTTGATGGGAGATTGTGAAATCTGTTCCCTGAATCACAACTTTGATAGTCTCTTTTGTCTTATTTAGGGACATCACACCCTGAGGCTTTTCAACTTTCCTGTGCATTTTGGAACCTTAAAAAAAAACCACTATGGGATAGGTACATCACATGATCCAGAACTATTTCAAGATCAGGCCTGAAATTCCGTAGCTACTGCATGAAATACGTGTCAGGAGGCCACCGCATCAGAAGCCGAGCTCTGTGCCTGCCCTTCCTGGCTCAGGGTGCAGCTGTGGCCTCATTCAGGGACTCTGGGTACTGCAAACTCTGTCAAGGCATCTGTTTGTACTGTCTGGGCTCAGAAAACACTTTCAGTCTAAGAAAAAAGGTTTAAATATGCTGCCAAATTTGGGGTAACGTTGCATACCAAAACAAGGATGAAGGACAGCATGTGCAGTGTGTACTACATTT